CGGCGTTACATTCACGAGGACGAGGGAGGCGGGGGGGGGGGCACAAGGAGAGGGCATGATGCGCACTAGGGCGTAGAGGATGGGAGGAGGGCAGGCATGCGGACGATGGGGGAGCTAATCCGGCGGAGGAGGACGACGAGGAGCGACATGAATTGGCACATGGGGGGGCGACAATGTGAATGGGGGACGCGGTGAGGGCCGGGGTTGATCGGACGGGCATGAGGGTAGTGGGACCAAAGCGAAGGGATTATGGGGGGCGGCGGGGGATGGGGCATGAGTTTGAGGCGGGCGCCAGCTAACGATTAGCTGAACAGTGTTCTGCGTGTCCGTGCCCCCCCCCCAGACAGAACGCAGCGACCGGTTGCAGAACTTCATGATATGGGCAATCGCGCGCTTCGTGCTCCCAGGCCAAAGGCTCGAGTCCACGACGCCCCTTGGCGTCGCGTTGATGCTGCCCCGATCTGCCAGATCGCGCATGCGCAGATAGGCGTAATAGCGTAATATGTGCTTGAACGTTTGTTTCATGACCCTCACTGTAGAAAAAGACCCACGCTGGAAACCACAAACAGACTATGAAGATGGCGATGGGGCCTCCGCGCGCGCCTCGCCGACACTTCTCGTCACATATGGGGCCTGCTCCCGCGCGGGGCGGACTGCTGTCGTCGCCGGGATGACGAGCTCGAGGGGGCGCGCGCCACGTGGTCGAAGGGGCCTCGGGGGTGCGGCCACGACGGGGCGGAGGCTCCGCGGGCCCCGCAGGCTCCACAGCAGGCGGGCCACCGGGCAGGCAGCGAAGCGGTCGCGACGACGCAACAGCCGAGGGCCCTACGCGCAGCGCCGTCGAAGTTGATTCAGGGATAGAAGACGCACTGCAAGTCGATCGCGGAGGCGGGGATGCGAGCGGTGAACATTATTGTCGCCAGGAGCAGCAGTGACGGCGTCAGGCTGGCAATTTTTCAGATTGCCGCTACTAGGGCGAGCCGTGCTGCTCGGGCCCCGGGCGGCGCCGCCCCGTCGCGCGGCTCGCCGCCGACGACGCTCGCGGAGGTAGCTGCCCGCCACGCGCGCAGTCCTGCACCCCCCTGCGCGGGTCGTGCGCGGCGCCCCCCCCCCCCCCCCCCCCCCCCCTCCGTCTCTGATTTGGCGCGCGCGCCTGAACTGGGCACGGCGCCGCCGAGGCGCTTGGCCGCTCGCTGCGCGCGCGTCGGGGACAATATCCCGGCAAAGCAACCTAACAGCGATGTGTATAAGCATCTATGGAAGCATTTCCCTTAAGATTCAAGTGAGAATCCAGTTTTAGAATTCTGCTGTTCTCGCAGTCGCATTCGCAATGACAGTCGCAGTGGCAGCGGCCTTAGGATCCAATGGAATCCGAAGGATCCCTCGGGATATCTAAAGCATCCGTAGGCATCCTTAGGAATCAATGGGAATCCTTCGGACACCTGTAGAATCCTTAGGAATCCTGATTCCTGAGGATTCCTATGGATCCCTGAGGATTCTTAAGGAATCTTAAAGAGTCCGAGGGGTTCGCCTGCCTCGGCCTCAGCCTCAGCCTGCCTCAGCCTCACCCTGCCTCAGCCTCAGCCGCAGCCTGTCCCAGCCTCAGCCTGCTTCGGCCTCAGCCTCAGCCTCAGCCTTCCTCTGCTTGCCTCGGCTTCAGCCTCAGCCTCAGCCTGCCTCAACCCTCAGCCTCAGCCTGCCTCAGCCTCAGCCTGCACCAGCCTCAGCCTCAGCCCGCCTCAGCCTCAGCTTGCTTCAGCCACAGCCTCAGCCTCAGCCTCAGCCTCAGCCTCAGCCTCAGCCTCAGCCTCAGCCTCAGCCTGCCTCGGCTTGCCTCAGCCTCAGCCTCAGCCTGCCTCGGCCTCAGCCTCAGCCTCAGCCTGCCTCAGCGCCAGCCTCTCAGCCTCAGCCTGCCTCGGCCTCAGCCTCAGCCTCAGCCTGCCTCGGCCTCAGCCTCAGCCTGCCTCAGCCTCAGCCTGCATCAGCCTCAGCCTGCCTCAGCCGCAGCTTGCCTCAGCCTCAGCCCCTGCCCCAGCCTCGGCCTCAGCCTGCCTCAGCCTCAGCCTCAGCCTCAGCCTGCCTCGGCTTGCCTCGGCCTCAACCTCAGCCTCAGCCTCAGCCCCAGCCTCAGCCTGCCTCGGCCTCAGCCTCAGCCTGCACCAGCCTCAGCCTCAGCCCGCCTCAGCCGCAGCTTTTCTCAGCCACAGCCTCAGCCTCAACCTCAGCCTGCCTCAGCTTCAGCCTCAGCCTCAGCCTGCCGCGGCTTTCGTCAGCCTCACCCTCAGCCTGCCTCAACTCTCAGCGTCAGCTTCTCAGCCTCTCAGCCTCTCAGCCTCAGCCTACCTCTGCCTCTGCCTCAGCCTGCCTCAGCCTCAGTCTTAGCCTGCCTTTGCCTCAGCCTCAACTTCAGCCTGCCTCGGCCTCAGCTTGCGTCAGCCTGCTGCAGCCTGCCGCAGCCTCAGCCTGCCTCAGCCTCAGCCTCAGCCTGCCTCGGCGGGCCTCAGCCTCAGCCTCAGCCTGCCTCGGCCTCAGCCTGCCTCGGCCTCAGCCTGCCCCAGCTCGGGCATTCATGGCACAGGACTTGTGTTTTGGGAACACGAAGATCACTCAGTGGCCCACAGTTGGCTCCGGGCAATCAAAATATGATACAGGAGTGGTGTTCCAGGAACACGGAGAACACGAATTGGCTTACAGATGGCCCCGGGCAGTCAAAATATGGTACAGGAATTCTTCACGCTTCGCGTATCCCCACCAGCCCATCTCAAAACAGCAACTCTTGCGAAGCATGCCGGCAGTCGTGCTTTTCAGGCGTGTTTCCGCCTGCCCCCGCATATCTCCCCTGTTCCTCCTTCCTCCCGCCTCCTTGTACATCCTCCTTGTGGTGGGAGCGGGGGAAGGACGAGGCGGAGGAGGAGGGAGAGAAAGTGCTCCTCGTGGTTTGAGTCGTTTGGGGTTTCTCGTCCTGGTGTGAGTCGTTCGGGCCCTTCTTCCTGGTGTGAGTCGTTCGGGCTCTTCGTGGTGTGAGTCGTTCGGGCTCTTCGTCCTGGTGTGAGTCGTTCGGGCTTCTCGTGGTGTGAGTTGTTCGGGCCCCTCGTCCTGGTGTGAGTCGTTCGGGCCCCTCCTCCTGGTGTGACTCGTTCGGGCTCCTCGTGGTGTGAGTCGTTCGGGGCCCTCGTCGTGGTGTGAGTCGGAGGCCTTTTGGGGCGTCTTGGGGGCCTCTTGGCGGCCCCAGGGGCTTCTAGGAGCGTCTTGGGTGCCTTGGGGGAGCCTCTTCGGGCCTCTTGGGAGCCTCTTGGAGGCCGTTTGGGGCGTCTTGGGGGCCTCTTGGCGGCTCCAGGGGCTTCCAGGAGCGTCTTGGGTGCCTCGGGGGAGCCTCTTGGGGCCTCTTGGGCGCCTCTTGGGGGCATTTTGGGGGCCTCTTGGAGGCCTCTTGGGGCCTCTTGGGACTCTTTGGGAGGGGTCTGGGAGGAATCTTGGGGCCATCTGTCGGGCGATCGATCACAGATGGGGCGAGCACTTTTCTCCCCCCCCCCGTCGGGGCCAGAATCCTCGTGAGGGGTGTCGAATTTTAGCCCTCCCAGGAGTCGAAAAAGACCCCTCCAACGACCCGCGGAACGCCCTCTCCAGGCCCAGGGGGAGGGGGTAGGGGAAGGGGTAAACCCCTCCCCGAAAGGGAAGAAGGGGGGTTGAGAACAGAGAGAGCTCGCTAAACCACTCACGCCCGAAGGGCTGGTGGGATTATGTTTTGGGAGCACGAAGAACACGAAGTGGCCTACAGTTGGTTCCAGGCATTCAAAATATGGTACAGGAGTGGTGCTCCAGGAAGAAGAACACGAAGTGGCCTACAGTTGGTTCCGGGCATTCAAAATGTGGCCTGGGAGTGGTGTTCTGGGAACACGAAGAACACGAACTGGCTTACAGTTGGTGCCGGGCATTCCAAAAGTGGCCTGGGAATGCAGGGCATTCCAAAGGTGGCCTGGGAATTGTGTTCTGGGAACACGAAGAACACGAAGTGGCCTACAGCTGGCTCCGGGCATTCAAAATGTGGCCTGGGAATGGTGTTCTGGGAATGGATTCCTAAGGATTCCTAAGAACTCCTAAGGATTCAAAGGATTCCTGGGGCTGCACTTTTGCCCGGTTCCTTGTCCGGATCCCGCCCAGACCCCCCTGGGGCGTCAAGATGTTTTTTAATCCCAGTAGAAACCTATCAGCAAAAGCTGTTAGGTAAAAGAGCAGCGACGGCCGCCTCACTGACCCAAAGATCGCGGCCAAGGCTGGCTGGGGGCTAGGCCTAGGCCTGATGGGGCGAGGAGCAGACGGCAGTGGAGATGTCTTTCAATGTGGTGGCATTCGCAGCCGCTGCAGCAGCGCGTCGAGGAGCAGGATCCTCTGTGGCAGCGTCAGCCAGCCTACTTGTTGCCAGCGAGCAGCCACCCATGAAACGCATCGGCCACCAATCTCTTCTGATTTGGGGGGCCACGTAGTGAATTTCGCGGCTGCGAGAGAGGGGTGGCGGGGAGAGAGCGAGGGGGGGGGAGGGAGGGGAGGTCCTCAGAGTCGGCGGCCCGCCAGCCAGGGCAGCCGCCGACTCCTGCTGTGGCCTCAAAGGTCAAGGTTCGCACGGGCCCCCGCAGCGGGGCAGCCCCTCGACGCGGCCCGTAGCACAGCTGCAGCAGCGCGAGGAGCCCGCCCCAGGCAGTCTTTCAGGCCGACAGCCGTTCAGTTCTGGGGGGCAGTTTCCATATCATTCCCAGGGCCCGCTCTCAGGTTTTCAGTTTGAGGCACCGTGGACCCCCAACGGCCTTTACGTTTACTTGTGCCTCCTCCTCCTCCTCCTCCTCCTCCTCGTCGTCGTCGTCCTTCTCTTCTTCCTCCTCCTCCTCCTCCTCCTCCTCTTCCTCCTCCTCCTCCTCCTCCTCCTCCTCCTCCTCCTCCTCCTCCTCTGCCTCCTCCACCTTCTCCTCCGTCCTCCCAGAGTTGCGGGCGCGTGGCCGCGGAAGGTCGCGGAACTCAAGAAGGACCCGTTCTTCAAACAGAGGCGCCCCTGCTTGCCTTTCCCCCGTCTAGGTCATGCTGCGGTTATCCAGCTCCCCTCCTCCGGTTTGTCGTCGCCCCGGCCCTCGACGCGCGCGCGCCCCAGTGGCCGAGGACCTTTGCAGACCGTTTCGGTAGATCCTCATATGTCGGAAGAGGACAAGGCACCCATAGCGTTACCCTTCGCCCGTTTTCCCCTCGCTTGGGCCTCCTGGGAGGCCCTCGTCGCCACCGCTGCATTATCCTCGAAATCTTAGTCAGAACGCACCCCAGGAAAGGTCTGGGGAGTGGCGGTGTCGGTGCCTACTCGTCTCAATTGTCGCTCTCGTCTACATGCCGTTTCTTTTGCCGGGGCCATTGCGCGAAACCGTTCGGACGTTTGCGTATCCCCAGCAAACCGAACGCGTCAGCATAGCATCGGGGCTAAAGATGAGGAGGATGCCCCCATTGGCCTCGTCGTCGTCTTCCTCTTTCTCCTTTTTCTGCCAATCGTTGTTTTTTGTTCTCTCTCTCTCTCCATTTTGCGTTGTGTCTCTCTTTCTCTCTCTCTCTCTCTCTTCTCTATCGCTCTTTCTTTATCCCTGTCTCTCTCTCTCTCTTTCTCTATGTCTCTTTCTCTCTCTCTCTCTCGTCCTCTCCGTCGTAGTCCACACGATCACGCCGCAGATCTCGCCCACTCTTCACGGCAGGCACTGACAGCTTGGGGCGTTCCAGAGATGGCTTCGCCGTTGAAGGATCTAAGGCTGACTTTTGCTTTGTGTTAAAAGAAGCACACGGAGAATGAGGTGGAATCAAAGTAAAGTCGGCTGTGCCAGCGGAAGGCAGGCGGAGACGAACGCTGGCGGAGGCAGAGCATTCCCCCGAGAAGGCACGCTTCGTTTGTGTAAGAAGGGCACCGCCTCTTAGCCGCCCACTCTGAGTGAAGACGCACCACCAGAGCCCCGCGTTGGTTGAGAAGGACCTGCCGATGCCGATGCCCTTGATACCTTCTCGCCTCTCGGGACCTCCCTGGAGGCTTCCTTTTCCGCTACGGATTCGACTCGGGGTCCACCAGGCAGGACTAGGACAGGGATGCGCATTCGCTCCAGAGCGATCCCGAACGCTCTCGGAGCGATCCGCAGCGCTCTGAGAAGGCCGCGGCGCCCGATACTGATGGACCTGTTTTCCATCACCACCACTATAAATTTGAGGGGGGAAGGAGGTGGAGGTGGAGGAGGAGGAGGAGGAGGAAGAGCAAGAGGAGGAGGAGGAGGAGGAGGAAGAGCAAGAGGAGGAGGAGGAGGAGGAGGAGGAGGAGGAGGAGGAGGAGGAGGAGGAGGAGGAGGAGGACCCCCTCCCCCTCCTACTCATGGTGATGGCGGTAGATCACAATTTCATCAGATACATCCTCCAGAATTGCCGGATCTCGGCGATCCCCGATTGGTCCCAGTCCGAGTTTGTCCTTGGACGGGCTTCGTCTTACGCAGTGCCTCCCAGGGGGCCCCGCTCCGCTGCGGCCTGAGTCGGCTCGGGGTCAGAGGTCCGAGCGCCTTCGGCCAGGCAGGGTGCAACGCGACCCCGCCAGCGCACCGAGCGCCGCGAGCGAACCGCCAACACGCAAGACGAGGGGGGCCATCCGCATTGCACCGCTGCTCCCACGCAGCCGCAGGGGACCTCCCCCCCTCCCTCCCCGCCCCCCTCCCTCCCTCACTCACTCCCTCCCTCCCTCCCGCCCCTCCCCCCCTCGGGCCTGTGGATCGCTCCCGCATCCTCGCTTCACCTCCTCCCCGTGCCCAAGTTCGGCGGCGCGCCGAAAGGGGGAAGCGAGACGGGGCAGCCCTTCTGTGAAGGCGGCGGGGCTCATCGGAAGCCCTCCAGCCTTCTGAGAAGCCTTCTTCGGGGCGATCGACATGTCGGTGGCCCCCAAACGGGGCGGTGACCACACCGTCTGGTGACCACACCGTGACCACACACAAACGGGGCGGTGACCAAAAGAACCTCAACATCAGCAACCTCACGACCGAGCAACAGAAGAAACTCCTCACGATGGTCTACGACTTCGGCAAGAAGTACTTGGACTAGATCGCCAGATGCGATCACCCCAGTGGCTCCATCAAATACAGCAGCGAGAACCTGCATTGCACCCCGACCGAAGCCACACCAGACAAGTACACGGAGCGCTGGCGCAAGTCGATTGGCACCTGCATCCCAGCGGTGTTCTACAACGACCAGGACAAATCCGATGACAAGCACGTCTCCGAACTCATTCGATTTCTGGACCTGGCGCGCCATACCTACACCAAAGACGAGCACCGCATCTAGCACATCGACCACAGCTCGCTGGGGCACTGTGTTACACCGCCGACGTCACGCGCCAGATCGAAGACATCGTGAACTGAAAGTACTACGGCTCGTACTATTACACGGACAGCATCTCCACCTCGGGAGCGCTTCGTCCCCCGAGGTACCACCGGTTCTGTGCGTGTGCGTCGTGCGCGATGGCCGATTTCGCACTGTCCGCCTCC